CCGATTTTTTCTTTTTTCAATGTTTATTTTATTTTTGGGAAAGAGAGAGCACAAGTTGGGGAGGGACACAGAGAGGGGTTTACAGAGGATTTGAAGCAGGCTCTGCTCTGACAGCCGGGAGACTGATGGGGGCCTCGAACTCATGAACCAGGAGATCATGACCCAAGCTGAAGGCGGGCACTTAACTGACTGAGCTACCCAGGCGCCCCCACAATTCCTTTTTTAAAAAAGTTTATCATTATCAAAATAATAGAGAAATAAGAAAAACTGCTTTGCTGCGAATAGCATTATGTATACTTTTGGTATTTCTGTGAGTTGACACTGTCTTCATCATGTCTCAATAAATAACACATGCTCATCAGTGGACCTCCAGGATGCCATGTTGGGCACTGAATGAAAAAGTCAATTAAGCAAATATGAACGTGTCTTTTACCTTGGAGTATTGGAAACAGCATCTTTTGAGAATTATTGTGCTTTCAAACTTTGTTAGGTTTAATGTTTTAAACTTCTGTTACTGTCTTAATATTTTCCTACTTTTTTTTATTTTCAAAAAGTAAACCATTTGTGAGTGAAGTCAAGCTCTGCCTCACAGGATTTTGGTAAATGTCACGGTTACATACTCTCACGGCCCTAGGCACACAGAGTTGTGCGTCTCCATATCAGGTGCCTAAAGAGAGCTGAATGTATCTTCTGCTACCTGGTCCACACACCCAAATGTTAAGATAAGAAGTTGTGGGGGCACCTGTATCTCAGTCGGTTAAGTATGTGACTCTTGATTTCAGCTCAGGTCAAGATCTTACAGTTCGAGGTATCCAGCCTCTGAGTTTGGCTCCTTGCTTACAGTATGGAGCCTGCTCGGGATTCTTGCTCTCCCTTTCTCTGCCCCTCCCCCACTCATGCACACGTGCATTCTCTTTCTCTGTCTGTCTCTCTCAAAATAAACAAATGAACATTAAAAACAGACAAGAAGTTGTGATTGGGGGTCAGGGAGCAGAGAAGGATTACTTTCTCTTGGTTTATACCAATTTGTGGTTTAAAGGAAGATTGCTTCCGAGGACCCTCAATAACCTTGAATCGATGTGACATTCCTAGCTGATTCATAGCTGTGATTAGAACTTCAAGAATGGTTCAAAATAGCTATAGGAATATTTCTCTCTTTCTCTCTCACTCATTCACTCACTCAAGAGTTCACATGTTGCAAAATAAACAACATACTGAGGGAAAAGAGAATGTCTGGATTCCCATGCATAAAAATAAGGGTGATTTTAACATCATAAATAATAGTTGCCAGAACACAACATTAGGCATTAGAAGTGAGATGTTTTTCATTTTCAAATTTAACTTGTTAGGTTTGAATGGTGTTAAGATAAGTGTAAATTCATAACCAGCTGAGACTTAGGCAGGAGTGCTATTTTGACCATACCTCTGCTATGTTAATCTCAATCAGAATAAACCAAACTTGACTGAGAAAGCAAGTGGGAGATGGGAGAGAAAATAAAATGTATATCTGTATATTATAATGGAAAGCATCTTATTAAGTTATTTTTAATTATAAGCATCTTGATGGATGTTTTTGCATTATCAATGTCTTTATGTGGAAAATAGCTCTCCACCCCTATTGGGTAAACTTTCATCCTTTAATGAACGCAAAACTATATGTGTTGGCTGAAATGAAATTAGATTAATTTTATTGATGGCTCCTTTTTTGGGTGGAAGTCCCATTCTCTGCTGCAAAGGTGCATTTCTGGAAGTCTACTGTTGATATGTTTCTCACTTTGCACTGTTTGTAGCAAAGTCAGGGTCTAAAATCCAGCCGGGTTTATGAAGCACGTGCTATGGGAACCTAAGAAGAAAGAGATTCAAATTGGCCTTATCACATAGATGCTCAGTAGAATTTTGGTGGTTGTGGTGAGGGTGTTGGCGATGAACAAATAAGCTAAATCAAGTACAGTCTTTCCCAATATCTTTATCTTTGGTGCTCAAACACTACTTTGTCTTTCTTTAGGAGTCCTTTAATCTGCTCTGTAGTAGAGCTGTTTATCACTTGCATTAGACTGTGAATTCCTTGGGGGCACAGACTATGGCCTATTCATTTCCACATTCTCTCTAGCCCTTCTTGTGAATTCTGGGCAATGATGTATTCAATTCATTCAACAAGTATTGATCAAGAGTCTACTATATTCCAGACATCGTGCTTATTTGGGGGATGTAGCAGTGAATAAAACAGATAAAAATACTTCATGGGGCTTATATTTTAGTAGAGAGACACAGATGACAGTAAGCAAATAAGCAATATATATAGATATAGATATAGATATAGATATAGATATAGATATAGATATAGATATATATGTCACTTGGTGATAAGTGCTATGAAACACAGGAAGGAGGATGAGAAGTGACATTTGTGTGTGTTTTTTTGGTGGTTTACTATGGGAGGCTGCAAAGGCCCTGAGGTGGAAACATGCCTGTTATTTTCAGACACTTCAAGAAGGCTGGTGCATCTAGAGTGCATGAGGTGGGTGGAAATATCAGGGGATGAGTTTAGAGAGGTTAGGGTAGGGAGAAGTGAACCTTGTAGGGGCCTTGTTGGTCATTGTAAGGACTTTGGCTTTTATTTTGAAGGATAGAAGATGCTATTGCTGCTTCTGAGCAAAGGAGAGACATTGACATGACTTAGATTTTAAAATCTTCATTCTGGCTATAGTGTAGGGAATGTGCTATAAAGAGAGCAATGTTAAAAGCAGCACATCAATTAGGCTATTGCAGTGGTCCAGGTGGGAGATGATGGCTGGAACCAATGTGGTGGTAGTGGGGAAGTGGAGAGATGTCATTGGATTCTGGGTATATTTCTTTTTTTATTTTTTATTTTTAAATTTTTTTTTTCAACGTTTATTTATTTTTGGGACAGAGAGAGACAAAGCATGAACGGGGGAGGGGCAGAGAGAGAGGGAGACACAGAATCGGAAACAGGCTCCAGGCTCTGAGCCATCAGCCCAGAGCCCGACGCGGGGCTCGAACTCCCAGACCGCGAGATCGTGACCTGGCTGAAGTCGGACGCTTAACCGACTGCGCCACCCAGGCGCCCCAGATTCTGGGTATATTTCAAAGGTAGCACCAGAAGAATTTACTGGTGAATTGCACGTGGGATGTGAATGACAGGGATCGAGGTCTGTGGCCTGAGCCAACAGAGGAATGGAATCCACCGTTTACCAAGATGGGAAAGACCGTGAGAGGAGCAAGGTTGGGAAGTGGTGGGAATCACGAGCTCAGATTTGAACATACTAAGTTCGAGATGCCTTTTAGATATCCAGGTAGAGATATTGGGTGGCCAATTGGATATTCAAGTCTGTGGCTCAGGGGAGAGATTGTGCTGGAGCTCTAAGTTGGGGAGTGTATAGGCAGTATGTCTCATGAGATGGCATGAGATTAGACTATTGTTGATTATCAATAGATATTTACTTACAATACTTGATTTGCTTTCTCTCCAAGTATCTTCATTTCTGATATTAATTCAGACCAAAATAGCCATCTCTATAGACCATTTATGGAATTTGTAGGTTAGGAGTTAAATAGTTTCTACTTTGTGTGTGCCTAGAGTAGTGCTAAGTGGTATAGGGGATACAGGGAAGCATAAGACTCCAATTCTGCCTTCAAGATCCTTAACGTTTGATTAGGGAAATAGCACTTTGATTCATGAAACTTTGTTCATACTACAAAACATTAGGTACCGTTGAATGCGTAATAGTCAATCCATACATTTTATTGAGCGATTTCTGTATTCTGTGCGTTTGCTATACATATAACAGGAATTGCAAAAAGCGAGATACCGCACATGATTTAGGAACCACTATCTAGATGTTTGTAGATTTCCTTGAAAATGCATATGGTGAAGAGCTTAAGAAAAATAAAGGAGTCCATTTTACTGCAAATGAAATCATAAAGTTATTTCAGTTTGAAGTAGGTTTTTTAACATTGCACACACACAAAAAAACCCCACCAAGTTGCAAAGTTGCAGCGTTTGATGAAAATAATGATAAAATAACGTAAGAGATGAAGATGAGTACATTTTTACAGGGCTTTAAAATTTTCAGAGGACTTTGACATCTCAGATGGCATTTGATGTTCTCAAACCTCTCTGCGCTAAGTAAGACAGATAATGCCTCTACTTGCCCTAAGAGCCTTAGTGACTTGTAGCTCAGCATTCTGTGGGGGAAGGGGGGTTCTTTCAGTGATTTATCATGAAGTTTTAAAATTTCTATTTCTAAACCCGATTTAGAGCTTGCTGTTCCTATACCAGTATACTCACCAGAAGTGTTGTTTACATCCTCTCGGTACTATGAAGAACAAAAATTTACCGCCACCTAACTCATTAAAAATTCTCTGCAAGCCTGAGGCTCAAAAGCCACAATATGGACACAAAGAGCTCAGTCCCCCTCAAGGACACTTAATTTCATGAGCCTCTCTCACTCAGAATTCTTCCCTTCTTCAAAACCCCTTTCTTAAGTGCAGTTTTAAACCAGAGGTGAGTTTGGGGGTTTTTTTTTTTTTTGTTTTTTTTTTTTTTTTTCCTGAATGTAGTTCCCTTACCAGTTTTCATTTCAAATGTGGGATATGCTGGGTTAGTATTTGTACTCCTAGCCACTTTCGGATCTCAGAATATTTTTTAATCTAACCACTGAATTAACATTTAAAACACGCACACACCTTAGAAGACATTGTCCTTTATCTGCATTCCAATACAAATATTTTTGAAGGCTGTCTCTCTTCCACCTCGAGTATTTTCTGATACCGCAACCTCCGGTTTAATCCTAAGTGCTTGCCAATGTGCACATGTAACACAGAGTGTTATTGTTGCCTCAGGCTAGCTTCTTGTCATCTAGTTTGTCTTTTGCTTCACTCCTTTGATAGTATTATCAGAACCAATTGTGAATCTGCCAGATGCATTTCCTCTCCAAAGGACAAATCTAAGAAGGCTTGTGTTTTTCCTTCTTTTTCAGGACTGCTTACTTGAAAGAAGTTGTTCTTCCTTCTTTTCATGAAATTGAGTTTGCTTAATCAGACATGGAGCAAACGGACTGCAAACCCTACCAGCCTCTCTCAAAAGTCAAGCACGAAATGGATCTAGCTTATACCAGTTCTTCTGATGAAAGTGAAGATGGAAGGAAACCAAGGCAGTCCTACAACTCCAGGGAAACTCTGCATGAGTATAACCAAGAGCTGAGGATGAGTTACAATAGCCAGAGTAGGAAGAGGAAGGAAGTAGAGAAATCTACTCAAGGTATGTTTTTACTGGATTTTTAGAACTAATATTTCTCACTAGGGAATGCTTGTGTGTGTAAACTTATGTTTTCAAAAACAAATTTGCTGATGTTAACTGGTTAATAATGCGCACTGCTTACATATGCTTAGTGAATTTGTTCATATGCCAATCTGGCTAAGGTTGTAGGTTACATGTGCTTTTTACGGATTATGCATGAATTTAGATGCAACAATCCTCTTATCAGGGCATTCAAAATTTGTCTAATCCTACAAATAGCCATTTACAGACTGAAGGATAAATAATTTATAGTAAGATGAAAAGTAAACAACTAAGTGCTTTTCAAGCCATTGCTTCTTTTTTTTTTGTTTAAACATTTATTCATTTTGGGAGACAGAGGGAGACAGAGTGCGAGCAGGGGAGGAGCAGAGAGAGAGGGAGACACCTAATCTGAGCTGTCAGCACAGAGCCCCACGCAGAGCTCAACGCAGAGCTCAACGCAGGGCTTGAACTCACAAACTGTGACATCATGACCTGAGCTGAAGTTGTTAACTGACTGAGCCACCCAGTCTCCCCATAAATATTTGGCTTCTAAAAGAGCTTTATCGGAGACCACCAAACAAAGGTCCGGAAAATTTGTCGTCAGAATGCAAAACTTTGTGCAACATAGTCCTAAGGGAAAGTAAGAACTTCCCTTCTGACCATTGCCATAATGTGGAACAGATCCTTTGGACAGCCTTGGTTTCTTAATTACAGATTGACAAGACTGGTTTTTAAAAAATGTTTATATTTGAGAGAGAGAGAGAGAGAGAGAGAGAGAGCGAGCGAGCAGGGAGAGGAGCAGAGAGAGAGAGTGGGTCAGAGGATCCAGGCAAGCTCTGTGCTGACAGCTTCTGTGCTGACTGCAGTGAGCCTGATGCGGGGCTCAAACTCACGTTCCGGGAGATCATGACCTGAACTGAAGTCAGATGCTCAACTGACTGAGCCACCCAGGCGCCCCAACAAGACACTTTTTAATAAATAGAAAACAGATAGATAGAAATAGTTTCCTTATTTCTTTAAAATTGACAGCGAAACAATATTAGATACTCTTTTAACTACACAGAAGAAAAGACACTGATGTTAGCACAGGTTAGTATTTTCTTAAAAGAATACATCAATGTTGAAATGAAAAAAAATAGGTTTGATTATCTAGATCCGTGGCTCTAAACTGAGGGACCCTGAAGCAACAACAGCAGCACCTCCCACAGGACTTGTTAGCAATGCAAATTTTCACATTCCACCCTAGATTTAGGATTCAGAAACCCTGAGTGTGGGACCCAGCAATCTGTGGTTTAAGAAGCCCTCCTGGGGATTCTGATGCAGACTCAAGTTTGAGGACCACTGCTTCATCCCTTTGAAATCTTTTACTCAGAGAGCCTCACAGATCACATCTAGTTGGGTGTCTTCCAAATATTTATCTTCAGCTCTATCATTTTTCCCAAACTCAAGCCCTACATTTTCAGTTACCTGCTTAACATTTGCAAATGAATGGACACTCCCACTGGCAGCTCTAAATCAATGTATCTAAAGCGACTGACATTCTCAATCCCGCTCCTTTTCTTTCCACCACAGCATTTGTTAGCGATGCTTCCATTCTCTCCAGCTATCCACATACACTTTCCATACCTAATCCTACCTAATCTGTTGCCTCTTCCAGCAGATTTAACTTCTACATGTCTCAAATCCATCTTCCTCTTTCTATTATCATTATCACTACTCTCATTTTGTCTTATCTAGACTGTTTTTTTGTTGCCTAAATGATCTCCTTGGATCCCACCTCATCCCTGTTCCGTCCTTTTGCCTTGTTGTTCTCTTTCCCTTGCAATGCCCTTCTCTGCTACCTCCTGTAACTTAATTACTCAACTGTCTTCAAGGCCGAGCCTTCCAGCGTCTTTGCCACAGAGCCTTGTTTGCACTGTCATCCCCTTTGTACCGATTGCTGACTTTTATTACTTTTGTATGTACATTCCTAGACTGTATAGTCAGTGAAGATGAGGATCATGAGTTTTTTACTGGTCTCTATTTTTCTATGGTGCTTTGCATATATTATGTGCTCTGTAATTTTTTATTTAAGGAATAAGTTGCCATCAACCAAAACGTAAGTAACTTATCATGCGTTGAAAACTGCTTTTTAAATATTGACATTGGCACAGGTTCCTTATTTTTTTAAAAAGAGTAGGTCATTGATGAGATGACAAAAAAAAATTTTGGTTCTCTAGATCAGTGGTTGTCAAAGCATGGAGCCTAGACGAGCAGCAGCGGCATCACCCATGAACATGTTAGAAGTGCAGATTCTCAGGCATCATCCCAGGCCATGTAAAATGCAGTCAGTAGAAATGAAAATTACTGTATTCTAATTAGTATTAGAATCTTACATTACAGAAATTTTAAAATGAGCCAAAGATTTTATATATTCATACTAGCATTTAAACATGCCTTAAATGTTTATGGTATTAATGATATTACACATGTTTTAGCTGTTACCATAACTGGTAAAAGTTTTGTATCTGTCTTTTCAAATAATTCATTTTAATCTTTCCTATTTGGTCTGCTAATGGCGACTGTAAATTTGTTATAAAACAATTTTACTTTTCTGCCTAACTTTTTTTTGGGTCTTTCATGCTTTAAGAAACGTGTAGTTCCCATTAAATTTTTTTTCTTTAAGGCTGTGTTTATAGAATATGAACTTAAAATTGTGAGTTGTGGGCTGTGGGATTGAAGTGTGGAGTGCTTGACTAACATGTTGTGAGTTGAAATAAGAATGCACTTCTAGTGACAGTTTGTTCTAAAAATATGAGCAGTTTTGTACTGAGTCAGTATAAAGAGCCTAGCCAGCCTCAGATTTTGTCTCTGTGCTTTGTGACCAAAATGAATTTGGGGAATATGGAAATTGGCCTTCTATGATGCCATCCTAACTTTTTTCAATAACCTGTACTCAATAAGCTTTTACTTAGCACTTGCTACGTGTCAGGCCTTGAGGCAGTGCTAGGGATGTAGTCAACCACCATGGTTTCTGCCTGTAGAAAATGCATAATGTGGTAGAGAAGAGAGAGATCAAACGGATCATTGCAATTAAATGCAATAAGTACTTTTATAGATAAAGTGGTATGGAAATACACAGGGTCCATAGAAAGGTGATATTTGATCTAGGTCTTAAAATTTGAACAAATTCTGACTTGGAAAAGGGCATTCCAAGAGGGTAGATTAGCAGGTGCAAAAGCATAAAGCCGTGAAAAGGCCTGGGATGGTGAAAACTTCAGTGTGGCTAAGGGTAAGGTACATTGGAGCCAGATCACAAAAAGTATTGCATGCCCAATTTTGGAGTTCCTTTTTTTTCCCCTCATGCTTAAAAAACCACAGCTTTTAAGTGATGGAGAATTTCATGAGGAATATAATTTCTAGGATGGGAAGTGTAGAGGAGAATTGTAGATGTGTAAGCAGCAGTGTAGGAGATTGATTGCAGTTGGGAAAAATTGGATGCAGGCAGACAATCTATAAAGCTACTGAATGGCAGGCTAAGAATGGCAATGAAGGTATAAACTTTGGCTGTATCGGAAGAGGTAAAGAAACAGAGTCCAGAGATATCAATGTGGAGGAATTGATAGGAGTTGGTGATTACTTGCTGAGGTGGAAAGAGATAAGAGTCAAGGATGCCTGGATTTCTAGTTTGGGAAACTGGGAGGATGATGATCCATTTACCAAGAGAAGGAAAACAGGAGGAGAGGTGGATTTGGAAGGGAAGAGAATGAGTTTCTTTTGAGACATGTTAAGTTTAAGATGCTTGGGTGGCATCCAGGTGGATTTTGCTATCAGGCAGTTGGAACTGCATGTCTAGAGTTCAGGAAAGATCTGGACTGTTGATATACGTATATTTGCATCCATTGGTATCTTACAGTAGGAGATGCCTGGGGATGGATGATATTACCCAGGGAGAACATGTAGAGTGAGACTAGAGAAAGGCCAAGGACGAAAACCGGAATCTATCATCTGTGAACTTACATAAACACATTGTCAACCTATTTACATTTTTAGCTAGCACTGTCCTTTGGTGTGCTGACTTCTATAAACTCAAGTATAAAGCTCCAGGAGGTGAAGGTCTGGAAACTTGGGATCTTATCTGCCACTGACCCACTATGGAGACACCTGGGAGGGAAGAAAATACATACCTCTTTGGCGGAGAAATGAACTACTCCACATTAGGCAAAACTGTGGACCCAGTTGTTATCTTTTTTGTGAGTTCAGGTATCTACTTTGTTGTCTTATTCCACGTATTGCATCGGTAGATGAGTAAAAGAAAATGTTAATTTGCATGAATTTATGTGACTGGTAGTAGCATTTTGCGTTAACCTAGCTGAGTCGAGCCTGACTCATTATTTTTAAGGAATAAAATTCTCAAAAAAGTGTTGAGTTTTGTAAAAATGTTTATGATTGAGAGAGAGAGAGAGAGAGAGCGAGCAAGCAGGGTAGGGGCAGAGAGGGAGGGAGACAGAGGATCCAAAGTGGGCTCGGTGCTGAGAGCAGAGAGTCCAATGCAGGGCTCGAACCCACAAGCCTTGAGATCATGACCCAAGCCAAATTCAGACGCTTACCTGACTGAGCCACCCAGGTGCCCTCGAAAAGTGTTGAGTTTTAAATCAAGAAGGAAGAAAGCAAATACAATTGGGCACCTGCTACTGTGGCACACACTCTCCTAGATGCTTTTCAGGTTTACTAGCTGTGTAGCGTTAAGCAAGTTACTTCAGCTCTCTGAACCTGTTTCTCATCTGCAAAATTGAATTCATCATCATCATCATCATCAACACCACAATAATCACAGTGATTAAAATAAAAGTAATAATAATAATAGTAATAATAATAATAATGATAAACCTTTAATAGTACCTACTCTGTTCCAGGACTCTTTAGGTGCTTTACATTTGCTCCTCATTTGAGGTATGAAATGTTATTTCCACTTTACAGAGAAGGTAACTGAGGCTTAG